GCTTTAAAGCCCTTTGACCTTTAATAATGTGTGGATACACCCTGATGAGCTACGCATCCTCCAACGCGCCTAGGCATGCTTTTGATCAGGTGGTCAATGTCCTCCTGTGGTATCTCATTCCAGGCAACCACCAACTCCTCTCGAAGTGCTTCTAGAGTCTGAGGAGTACGTTGCAAATTGAGCAATCTCCTACCCATCATATCCCACACGTGCTCAATTGGGGATAAGTCGGGAGATCTTGATGGCCATGGTAACAATGTGACATCATTATGTTGAAAGAAGTCTATTGTGACTCTTGCAACATGTGGTCGGGCATTATCTTGTTGGAAAGTTGGATCTGCCAGGGTGTCAAGATAACCATAAGCTATAGCACCCCAAACCATAACTCCAACAGTGTGATGAACATGTCTTTCAACAAAAAACTGTGGATTCCTCCTTTCACCACGTCGCCTTCTAACACTGGCACGATCATCGTGCATGCCTAAACAAAATCGAGACTCGTCACTAAGGACAATACTGTTCCATTAATGATCCCAGAGTGATCGTTCTCTGCACCACTCAAGGCGATTACGTCGGTGTTCTCGAGTTAAAGGGAGGACTCAGTGTGACCGGTATGAAAACAAGCCGAAACTTCTCATTCGTCGGTAAACATGCCAATATGTCTTTCGTGTTCTGCAAACCATTCATTTGCAACACCTAACCACAGTGTCTACACTTCTTTGCACTCTAACTGCAATTGCCCGGAAAGAAAGTCCAGCTTCCCGAAGTCCCACTATACGGCCCCTATCAAACTCACTAAGTTGTCGAAATCGTACAGGTCTCCGTACTCTAGGCATCGTAACCGATCGTAAAGGATGTCAAGAACCACAATCCGCCAACGTTGATTCTTTACTGCGGCTGAAATATTCATTTTTAGAGCGTTAGTGAATTAAAAAAAAGCAGTATAAAAACCGGAATGTCCAACTGATAAGGCTGAAAATTTTTTCACTTGTTATTTACAGTAAGATAAATACATTCACCAACTTTTATTAAAATAAAACCATTTAAACTGGGTGTTCGGATTTATATGTCACTTAGTATATCTATTACAGCAGAAGAAATGTACTTAATTCTGGTGTAAGCCTACCTGTTTATTGCTTTGCAAAAACTACCTAATTGTTTCCTCTTATTTTGACGGCATAAAATATTTTTATGACTCTCATTCAATTGTTACCATGTACCACATGACCTTTGTAAACATAATTGTATTTACTGACATGAATAAACGAATTGTAATTTGAGTTCTTGAATTTATTTTAGGGAAGATATCAAATTATTTGAATACATTTGTTCTTAGTCGGAACGCACGGTTGCGTTGCTTGGACTGACCGGACGAAACAGTAGACGAATTTCGCCCAAAAACCGATTTGCACTTCACAGCTTACGTTTCATTTTTTATTATTTCCAAATGAAACTCTTGCAGCGTGCTAAAAACAAAGTCCACAGGGTGCTAACGATCCACTTTTTCGATTTTATCCACTAGGATCTTTTTAAAATATCAAGAAGTTGAGCACAAATTCGATAGTAAGCATTTCAACCCACCATAATTCTTGCGCAAAGACAAAATTTTGTAAAACGCTCTGATAGCACCTTAGGCAATTAGGTCCTGCTTATATCCAGAAAAACGTCACAAACTGCAGAACCCAAATTGAACGTAACGGCGAAATAGGTACATTTCACGGCTCATGAAATTCAAATGAAAATGCAGGTATAAAATCTAATCTAATTATCGTTCTCAAAAACATATTTCCTTGACATATCGATAATTTTAATCACTGGGATCAGAAGCTTCTTAATAATAGAACGTGTTTCACTGATATGAAAGATGCAACATTCAGAATCACCTTCCCCCAACCCCCACTTTTTAGGCAGTACAATTTTTTTCTGTCAATGATAAGGAACCCTTGTAATGTCAAAAACGGAGTTTCAGCAACTGCTACTTTTTCTTTTTTGCCTATGGCACCGTCTCCACTGTACTAAAACTACAAAGCTTTGGCATACTAGTAACCCCGTGTGGAAATTTCATAAAAATCCGAGCGGTTATTTCCAAGTTGATGCGTGATATAGTTGTTCGTGATGTAGATGTCATATGACTTAAAAAACATAACATATCATTTTAAAAATGTTTCGCGATTACAATACTTCGTCGCCAATGACGTGGGAAGTAAAACGGCTTTAAAATCGAGGAGTACCATCGATTGCGATTATGAGTACCTTATCTACGCGATATTATATGAAATAGGGCCACCAAATTATCTGAATACGTCCTTTCTTAGTCCGTACATTGCGCCGCAACGCTTGGGTTGGCAGCACGAAACAGTAGACAAAATTCGTCCAAAATACGATTTGTAGAGGTTTGCGTGCTTCGAAATTGACGCTTTATTTTTTGATATTTTTGGATGAAATTTTCACACAGTGCTGAAAACAAAACCCCACATGGTGCTATAGAGCCACTTTTTCATTTTTTTCACTAGGTTCTTTTTAAAAAAATCGCGAAGTTGAACAGAAAAAGTACGCACTTCAACCCATCATAAAACTTGTGCAAAAACAAAATTTCAAAAAGTGCTCCCATAGCACCCTGGGCAATTATCTTCTCAACATACTATATGAAATTCATTAAAAAATATTGAAAAATGGAGTGTCAGTTTTGAAGCAGCTGTGAACCCTTGTAAATGGCTTGAAACTCACTGCGTCGGAGCCGCCTTAATAGTTGATTAACATGGCCAGTTTTAGTATTTGGGTGACAAAGCACCTCTAACAAAAATGTTTCTTGATTATAACCTCTCTACATCAGTTGCGCTACTACTTCACAGTTGTTCTTGTAAAAGTATACCGCATAAGATGACAATCCAATATTTTCCATTACGTCAAAGCAATTTGCCTATTTGATTCTAACTATTGCCAGACCGTAAAGCCCAAGTTCCTTCTCAAAAACATTACCACCTATCGCAGACAGGTAGAAAACAAGTCCCTTAATAAATATTCAAATTCGAACGGCGATATATTTCGGGGCTAAGATATGCGCCTATTAAAAAAGACAACATATTAATTCGACAAATATATATTTAATCTTATGAAAATAAGCGGCGAATTTTTTGGATATGATGGGTTTTGTATTTAAATTTTTTTGGAGTTCGAGCAGCGTAGGTAACGGATGAGTTATAGCCGGTGCTTTGTTAATCTTGCTATGGATATTTATACTCCAAGCGACACTTAAATGGGTAATTTGTCTTTGGCGTAGTAAATTTCAGGGGTTGAACAAGAATTTTCGATAAATTTTGCTGGTCTTCTTGTGCATGATGCCATCGTGAAGACATTTAACGATTTTATACTTCAAATGTATATACGGTGATTCTAAGATACTGGCGCGGTTTCAACACACTGTACGAGAGATGTCTTTTAAGCTTTGCATACGAAAATAAAACAACACAGTAGGTAGTTTTAAATGACACAAAGATTAATACACATCTGCATGCGCTCGAACCAATTGTCGAAGCACTTATTTATTACCAATTTTATCCAAAGTGCCTTAGATAAGAAAATGGCACTAGCCTTAATCTCTATAGACTATTCGAAAGCCTTTGACAGCATCAATCATAAATTATTACTTGCTAAATTAAATTACATAGGTCTTGAAAGTGTATCCCTTTCATTTTTCGACAGTTACCTTCATCAAAGAACTCAGTGTGTTTTTCTCAATCAAGAAATGTCTCAAGTGACAATAATTCCCTCAGGCGTACCTCAGGGCTCTGTATTGGGGCCGCTTCTGTTCCTCATATATACGTTCGACTTAAGCAAAAGTATTGATAATTCTCAAGTCCAGTCATTTGCAGACGATACGCAATTGCTTCATTATTTTAACCCAGATAATGTCAATAATACTACTCAAATTTTACAAAACGATGTTAATAAATTAATTAAATACTCTTTAGATCACAATCTACTTATTAATCCACAAAAATCCAAAATTTTATTATTTTGCGAACAAAGAAAAACATACAATGTAACACAGCTCTTGAACATTCAGATAAATAACCAAATTTTGCAATTTTCTGATTTTGCAAAAATTCTTGGTGTTGTTTTTGATACAAAATTAAGGTTTATTGAACATGTTAAAAGTCTATCTCAGAAAACCTACCTACGGCTGCGCGTCCTTATAGCAAACAGGTATTTACTAAATTTTAAGATGCGTAAAAAACTATGTGAAGCATTGGTCATATCTATACTAAATTATTGTAATATCGTATACTATACTTGTTTAGACAATTTCACTAAAAACGTTATTTAAGTTATTCAAAACAATTGTATACGATTCATGTTTGGCTTACGTAAATTTGATCATGTATCAGCGAAATATCCCGTTCTAAACTGGTTAAAAATTAATGACATGATCAAGTATCACTATTCAGTTTTTGTTCACAAATTGCTGCTCACGTCTAAACCTTATTACTTGAAGGAAAAAATTTCATTTAATAATGATCTTCACTGTAGAGCTCTCAGAGAAAATAATATTAGAATACCCCTGCATACGTCTACACTTTTTAAACGCAGTTTTTCTTACAATGTTGCTATTATTTATAATGACCTTCCTAAAGTATATAAAGAATTTTCATTACCTGTCTTTCGACAAAAAGTTAAAACATTATTACTCAACCCTACAAACATATAATTTACGTAATCATTCATTTCTTTTTTATTCCATCTTTAATTCAGATTAATAATTTTTTAGTGCATTTGGGTTTGGAAAGTATGCCTTTTTCTCTTTTTTTTTAAATTTTACTTTCGATGTAATGAACCAAATCTGTTTGTGGATAGTGTATTCTTTTGAACATCTGCTAGAGACTATATGGTTAAGTGTAAGAGTAGCAGTATGCTGAACTTCGCCATATAAGTCTGACATTTGGCTATACTACAATGTAATTGTGGATAAATAAAGACGTCTATTATTATTATTATTATTATTATTTCACTCGTTTGCTGGCAGATCCAAAACGGCATTTTTGAATGCGTCAACTGCTTCTTCTGGTGACTGGAACCTTTGACCACGCAGTCTGTTGTTAATTTTCGGGAAAGAAAAGAAATCGTTAGGACTTAGATCGGGACTATATGGAGGATGGTCCAATAATTACACGTTTTCTTCGGTTAAATACTGCCTTGTTTTTTGGGCTGTGTGTGAGCTTGCATTGTCTTGGTGGAGGATGATTCTTCTTTCGGGGTTGATTTTTCGAAGCTCGGTGATGCCTTTTGGCAAACAAATGGTGGTATACCAATCCGCAGTAACAGTTCTTTGCTCATTAAGAGGAATTGTTGCAATATGACCCAATTTTGACACAAATGTCGCGACCATCTTTTTCTAAACACTTCGAGAACGGATGACTTTTGTTGGCTTTTCTTCACCTTGGAACACCCAAACAGCGGACTGTCGTTTATTTTCTGGTTCATAACAATAAATTCACGATTCATCACCACTAACAATGCTGTTAACATTTTTTGAGTTTACGGAATTGAAATGGTCAAGAGTGTAACGGTTTCACCGTCCGATCGTATTTATTAAATCACTTCTCGATTATCATTTCATTAATCCCATCTCTAGCTTTTTTGCTTGGAAAATTTTCCGCTTGGAGCGCTTGATGCGGAGTTCCCGATCTGCGATCTTCCTCGCGCTTCTTTTTCACCTGAGCCGCCGATCGAACAACGGCTAGAAATTTCTTCTCAGTAGCACAAGGTTATATAGCACCATGTGCTAGATTTCTAGAATGTGTGTCCGTATAGGACAAAAATGATTGGGGCCACCCCCTTTCTCTTTCCCTTTCACTTTGCCTAGCCTTGGCCAATATTTTCACCCATGCATGTACCTTGGCAGCGCCATCGCCTTTAACTTCGCCTACAACTGGTTGTGAAGCCACTATATGGAGGTCACCCCTCATAACTGGGACCTCCCCTTCAAGCCCCTGGCCATCCTGGCTTCAGTCGAGTAAAAATGGACCAGCGAAAGATAAGTCGATAGCGTTATAGCAGCGCCAAAGATGTAAAACTTATTTTGTTATTTTTGTAAAATTGTAATGTAATGAAAATGCCTTTTTTTTGTTAAATAAAATCTGTTAAATTTTTGTGTTCTGTTTGTTCTTCTATCCTCTAGCCATGCCATGGTCGACACACAGCTACACGCCTGTAGATGTCTTCATGCCACCGACTGAGCTACCGGAAGCTAATTGTAACCCCCTTTCTGTGATTGTGCAGAAAAGTTGGAATCTTCATTGCATTCCATCTTTTCTGGACTTTTTGCGGAAAGGAAGTGTTACATAAATTGGCACCCGCAACGTGAGGCCGCTCAATCGAAGGGGGCGAGTTTTTCGATCTGTACATTGGAGCGAGTAGGTTTTCCTATATTTATTTCCTAGTACAGATGCGAACGGAGAAGAATTTCCTTTGATAATGAATAAACTTATTTGCTGTAAGAGGCAGCTGATTGTTTACTTTGGACATTTAACATCGTTGATCCTTCAACCTTTTGAAATATTACAATTTGTCCAATACATATTTCCGCTCAATCGAAGGGGGCGAGTTTTTCGATCTGTACATTGGAGCGAGTAGGTTTTCCTATGTTTATTTCCTAGTACAGATGCGAACGGACAAGAATTTCCTTTGATAATTGCTAAGCTAATTTACTGTAAAAGGCAGTTGAATGTTTACTTTGGACATTTGTCATCGTTGATCCTTCAACCTTTTGAAATATTACAATCAGTCCAATACCCATATTTCCGCTCAATCGAAGGGGGCGAGTTTTTCGATCTGTACATTGGAGCGAGTAGGTTTTCCTATATTTATTTCCTAGTACAGATGCGAACGGAGAAGAATTTCCTTTGATAATGAATAAACTTATTTGCTGTAAGAGGCAGCTGAATGTTTACTTTGGACATTTAACATCGTTGATCCTTCAACCTTTTGAAATATTACAATTTGTCCAATACTCATATTTCCGCTCAATCGAAGGGGGCGAGTTTTTCGATCTGTACATTGGAGCGAGTAGGTTTTCCTATATTTATTTCCTAGTACAGATGCGAACGGAGAAGAATTTCCTTTGATAATGACTAAACTTATTTGCTGTAAGAGGCAGCTGAATGTTTACTTTGGACATTTAACATCGTTGATCCTTCAACCTTTTGAAATATTACAATCAGTCCAATACTCATATTTCCGCTCAATCGAAGGGGGCGAGTTTTTCGATCTGTACATTGAAGCGAGTAGGTTTTCCTATGTTTATTTCCAAGTACAGATGCGAACGGACAAGAATTTCCTTTGATAATTGTTAAGCTAATTTCCTGTAAAAGGCAGGTGAATGTTTACTTTGGACATTAGTCATCGTTGTTCTTTCAACCTTTTGAACCATTACGTCAGTCCACCATGTACAAAATTTACAAGTAATCATTATTTTTCTGATTCCAATTTAATGTGTATACTTCATCTTTTGAATATTTCATTTTTCTGAGTGTACTCAAAATTTAAATTGCATTCAAATCATGTGACAAATACTGTGTATAATATTTTATAATGTTTTTATGCGTATATTTTCTGAATTTCTTTTACATACTTAGGTACCTCTATTTTTGAAGTCTATTACTTTTGAAGTTTTTGATAATATCCTCTTTTTGAATTCATTATAACTTTCTTCGAGAGCACAGACTTACATTGATTTTTGGTTCAAACTTTTGATGTTTGTTTACATATTTTTGAGTGGTTTTGAACTTTGACAGTATTTTGTAGTCTGGATAGTTACATAGATTCGTTGCGATGTATGCCTTGAGGGTCTTGTACTATCCACAGTTTCTTTAATTGAAAGTGTTTTCTTCATATGCATTTTATTTTCTTCTTGAGACTTGTCATATATGCTTTCCGCCTAGTTGCAAATCTGTGCGTATTGATAAACTCTTGAAACCTCTGGCGTATAAGTAAAACTCACTTTTGATATAGTTATTTATGTCTCGGTTCAATTCAATCAGTTCAATTTGATTTGAAGTAATTGTCAATTCCTTCTTGAGATTTTTCATATATGCTTTCAGCCTTTGTGCACATTTGTGCGTATTGCTAAGTCTTGAGCTTGGTTGCGACATTGCTTTCATGTTTCGCTATAGATTTTGAAATATCTGGTGATTTTGCTTTTGCATTATTGCATTTGTTTTGATAGTCTGCTCTCATAATCTTTTTTCCGGCTTCTTATTTCTTTCGATTTCTGTCTTGACTTGAAGTAATCGCCAATTCTTATAGATTCAGTATAGTAATTCTCTTTTCATGCTTTACACTGGTAAATTATTATAGTTTTTCTAATCTTGTAATATTTCATATTTGAACTTAACTTTCATTTTACAATGTTATGGTTATTCTCAGTGTAGACTTTGAAGTGCGCTGATGATATCAGTGATCTACATGAGAATATTCCATAGACTATAGACAATCTTGTCTAGGGCTTTGGAATGCACCTATGGTGACCCTAGAAAGTTGTCTTTCTCTCATTTTTTTGCTTTAAATCAAAATTCGAATTCTTACCTATCATATTTATTTCTATTTCTTGTTCACTAGATTTTTTTTATAACTCCAATTTTGCACCTACATATATCGTAGTCTTTTGCATACAATTTTTGCTTGCGGCATTACTCTCATGTATCATGATTTAATAAAATATCTTGTGATTTTCGTTTCGCTATTTTGCATTTTAAATATGCTCACTTCGTTTCTCATTTATTACTCATGAAACTTTTAATATTTTGCTTACTTTTAAATTTTTTTGAGAACCCTTTATAAAATCATGCTCATATAGCTTTAATATTTCCTTTCACTTTATGATTTTAACACTATTAGATTTACAGTTGCACTTGTGTTGCACTTAGTTTTTTTGGAAATTTATTTTGCTCTTTTCTATATTGTACTTCAAATTTTTTTTTTTGGTCTGGTTCTTATGTTGTCACATGACCCGAAAATTTTGATTGAACTTACTCTTGAATTTTAGTTCATTGATTGAACTTAAGCTATATTTTGACTTTGAAAATCTTACTTCAATATTTCATGAATGTCCCTTATATACTTTAATTCTCTGAAAATATTTTGAATTATTTTGTAGTCTTACAGACTGCTGGCGCCCGACAATTTTTTTGTGGAATCAGAACTGCACTTAGTTAACATCTTTTTTGATTAAAATACCTTCGTGATCAAGTTTTCATTGGTTTAGTACTTGTAAATTGTTTTGTTATATGACTTGAATTCCTAATGGAATTTGTTAATTTCTTATGATTTTCATATTTTGAAAATAAATGCACTGTTTTTTTTTCAATATTGGATATTGGTTTAAAATATCACTGTATATGATATTCTTTTTGGGTTTGGAGCATTGCGAGATAATCTGGCAGTTGTTTTGAGAATGTTTATTATTCTTTTTTTTAGTACCTCTTATGGTATAGGTACTTACTTAGTCTTGAAGTTTTTAGTAGTCAGTCGTGCATTTTGGATGCCATTGTGATTCGTGCTTGGACTACTGCTGAAACTTTTGGTTTATTATTTTTCTCGTCTTAGGTATGACGATGTTTTATGTTTTGGGTTTTTCATCATATGATGATAGTTTTTTTTAAGTGCAACTTCACTGTACTTTTCAGCGAGTTGGTGCTATAACCATCCCTCTTGTTTGGTAGACTTGAGGCTATCCCTTTTTCTTCCAATTCTCTTCTAACATTTTTGTTTCTACCTTACTTTTACTACTTGTTATCTGGTCGAATGGTTGTACATTTGTCCTTCCGTGATAACTTTCAATTTCCTAGTAAAAAAAAAAAATTCTTAAATGCTTCTTCGATTTTTTTTTTTTTTTTGGTTAAGTTGGGGCGAGTGTAACGGTTTCACCGTCCGATCGTATTTATTAAATCACTTCTCGATTATCATTTCATTAATCCCATCTCTAGCTTTTTTGCTTGGAAAATTTTCCGCTTGGAGCGCTTGATGCGGAGTTCCTGATCTGCGATCTTCCTCGCGCTTCCTTTTCACTTGAGCCGCCGATCGAACAACGGCTAGAAATTTCTTCTCAGTAGCACAAGGTTATATAGCACCATGTGCTAGAATTTTCTAGAATGTGTGTCCGTATAGGACAAAAATGGTGAGTTTTATAATACTATACAGTTTTATTGCTGGATCTGCCTGTAGTTTATAGATAATCGATATGTAAGTGATTTATTTCTTGTACGATTTTAAAATATCCATCGAACGTCATTTTCGACTACTTCGATCATTCGCCATAACTTTAATCAAATCGAGGTGGAAATCGATCCACATCGATTTTACCTCTGTGCGCGTATATATATTCATAGTTCAGTGAAATTATAAGTACGTTGATTATGAATATTCGATGATTGTGTTTT